GTGCTCCTTGGAGGCCAGGATGGCTAAACTTTATCTGTCATACGTTGGGTATATTTTCAGGAGGGACCAATTGCTGGAGAAAGATATCATGTTTGGTAGGGTGGATGGTCAGAGATAAAGAGGAAGAGCCTCAGTGAGATGGATTGGCAAAGTGGCAGCATCGATGGACTCAGGCATGGCAACAATTATGAGGTTGGCCCAAGATAAGGCAGTGTTTAGTTCTGTAGTGCATAGGTTCACTATGATTCTGTACTGACTTGATTGCCCCTAACAACAACAACAATAGAGGCTCTATTTACTATTAAATATTTTGGTGGGGCACTTTAGTATAATATAAGCACTGTATTGCAATGTCATTTGAACCACAAGGTCAACGGTTCAAACTTACCATCCACTCCTTGGAAACCCTATACGGGATCACTATGAGTTGGAACTGACTTGACAGCATTTAAAAACAACAATAATATCTCCTATGAAGTCCTGGTGTGTCACTGTAGGTTAAGCACTTGATTACTAGCCACAAAGTCGGCAGTTCAAATTCATCTCAGAAACACTATATAGGATTGCAATCAGCTGGAACTGACTCTGTAGCACTTAGCAATTAAAAAAACAAAACCCAATTATATCTACTGTAGCTCCCATGTTTCTCCTATATGATTCATAGATCTGGGGATTAAGATGGATAAGGGAGTGGGATCATTATACCTAATGATCCACTACAGAAATGCTCATTCCTTCTTCCCGTGACTTTGGATGTCACTGCTCTACAGTCTTAGCTTCTAAAGACTGAAGTCATCCATTTGGGCGATGGTTCCATTATGCTGGAAGTTGAGAGTACCAAACTGCCATGGGTGAATATACTTTTTGTTTTCTTTGGGGGAAAGTGTTAGTGGGTTTTCAGTGTCTAAGGAAAAGTTGCACCAGGCTTGATGAAAGCATTGTTTTTGGTTTTGTTTTTTACTACTGCTTTTGTTTCTAATAGGAGACAGACCTGGTGGCATAATGGTTAAGTGGTCTACTGTTAACTAAAAGGTCAGTGGTTTCAACTCACCAGGTAAAAGGCGTGATAATCTGATTACATAATGATTGTTTTTGTTGTAGTTAAGTACCGTGGAGTCAGTTGTGACTCATAGTGACCCTGCATAGGGTTTCCAAGGCTGTAAATCTTTAAGGGAGCAGAAAGCCCCATCTTTCTCCCACGGAACAGCTGGTAGTTTCGAACTGTCGACCTTGAGGTTAGCAGCCCAATTCGTAACCATTACGTTACCAGACAGACTTGGAAATCCTATGGGGCAGCCCTACTCATTTCTATGAGTTGAAATCCACTTGACAACAGCAGGTTATGGGTTTATTATTGAGATAGGATGGATCATAATGGCTTTGTATTACATTGACTTATGTAAGTGTAGAATTCCTTTGTTCCAGAAATTTCTTGCCTTTATGGTTTCAGGTTAGGATTGACCACAATAGAAAACTGTATGAGATAAGAAAGGTATACATGAAACAGCAACCACCTTACACTCAGAAGGTTGGCATTGCTCTGGCACGAGACACTGATAGCTTACCTATGTTGTTACTGATCTTTCTGGCTTGTCTTGTTGGTGTGGTACAAGTTGGTGTGGTTTTGTGGTATTGGTAGGTTCACCTGGATTTGTACCTACACAAACTCCAACCAGATCTTTTCTTTCAGCTTTTCTGAATCGTGGGCCATGTGAATATGCACACCACAGTGAAAGTACCATCTTCTCATGTAAGTAAGTGTCTGTGTCATCACAGAGACAGTAAGAAACATACTCAGATCACAATCTGTCTAAATGACTTCGTTTTATTCCTCCCTGATTTGGGTGTGTCTGTGCTCTCCTCTACTTCACATCCTGCTTGTCTCCTTTACTAAGAACACGTTCTACACTAGAGGCAGTACAACACCATTGCAGACACTTCTAAACCAACTATACTTCTACAACTGCAGTAGTTCTAGTTCCTTCAATTAATCCTTGATTCTGTGCTACTCAAGGAGCTCTGGTGGCCCCGTGGGTTAGATGTTGAGCTGCAAGGTTAGTGATTCAAACCCAACACCTACTCCACGGGACAGAGAAAAGGCAGTTTGTCTGCTTCCATAAAGATTTACAGTCTTAGAAACGCTATATAGGATCTCTATGAGTTGGAATCAATTTAGTGGCAAAGGGTTTGGTATTTTTACTTTGGACTCCTAGTGTGGCACTGTAGGGTCAGCACTGTACTGTGAACCACACAGCAGTAGTTCAAATCCACCAGTTTGCTCCTCAGGAATCCTAAATAATGTTGCTCTGATTTCGAATCAACTTGACGGCCTTTAACAACAACAGTGCTATCATGGAGTCCTGGTGTGGCACTGTAAGATAAGCACTGGACTTCTAAGCATAAAGCTGGTGGTTTAAACTCACCAACTTGCTCCTTGGAAACCCTATACAGGGTTTCCAACTGACTTGATGGCACTTAACAAAATAACACTGCTACTCATACTGGTTCTGCTTAATTACTTTGATTAAACCATTACCAGCATGCCAAATATACAAGCACTTATACAAATAAGTAAAAAACAACCAAATGGCTAAAGGCTTTTATAAAAGTCACATAAAAGAAAATAAAAAACACAGGATTCTCAACCTAATTAGTAATCAGGTAAATGCAAATTAAAAGATGAGCTACTATTTCACAACCATCAAAGTAGCAAATGCTAAAAATGTCTTACAACACTACAAGTGATCCTGCATACGCAATAAGAGTATGTTTTATGCTTTGCTAATGACACTATGAACTGTTTAATCACTTGGAGAATAATTTAACGATGCTGATAATGCTAAAAATTGTCATAAAATATACCAATAGGTCTATACCTCGGAAGAACACAAGAAACTCTCACATAATAAAAATGAGGGAAACCCGTGCAAAAGCCCTTTATGTAGAGAACTATATTAATGCATGATACATTTTCACTTTAGACCCAGGTCAGTTACCTTGAAGTTGGGTCATTCAGAAAAAGCAACTTGCATCCAATGGCAATAGTGACCGGTATTCCATTCCTTATGATAGCCCCTTGATGATCCCCAGACTGCAGGTAATCATGCCCTTATTGGATTGATTTATTGATTCTATTCTAGTGAACAGAATGAGGTTGAGATGATGGTATGACACTTGTGAGATTAAGTTACAAAGAATCTATGGTTCTTGCATTGTGTGCTCTCTCATAGTAGATGTAAGCTACTATGAGGGAACTTCAAAAAGTTCATGGACAAATTCCATTATCTCTTAATTCCATTTTTCCATGAACTTTTTGATGTCTTCTTGATATTGTAAACTACCATGGAGATACTGACATAACAAGGAACTGCTGTCTCAAGCCTACATCCAGTGAAGATTTGAGGCTAGATACATCCAAGTACATGAGCTTGGAAAGTCACTAAGCTTCAGTGTAATCTGTAAAATAGCAATAGATAACTAATATAACATCCAGTAATCATTGTAAACGCACAGTACAAAACGGATTAATTATGTTCAGATTAACAGGAACTCTGAATTACTTAAAGCTCCCATTCATTCATACATTATTTCACCAATAGTTATTGAACTTCTAATATATCAGGAACTGTTATATGGAAAAAGTGACTATAAACATAGGGATAAAAACGTATGCTCTTGTGGAATTTTGCTCATAGATAATAATCAAGTAAATATGTAAAATACATTACATGATGCTAAACGCTTGAAGGAAAATTAAGCAAGGAAGTACAATAGGTAACAGCCAGGTGAAGATGTTGTTGTTCTTAAGTGCCATCAATTTGGTTCTGAGTCATAGTAACCCAGTATAGGGCTTCTAAGGAGTGGCTAGTGTTAACTGACCACCTTGCAGTTAGCAGTTCTATGCTTATCCTACAGTACCACACCAGAGCTCCCAAGTGAAGGTGGTGGTTGGTGGTTTGCTGTGAAGTTGGTTATGATTCATACAGCCCTGCATAGGGTTTCCAAGGCTGTAAATCCTTTCAGGATCAGAAAGTCTCATCTTTCTCCCATAGAATGTCTGGTAGTTTTGAACTGCTGACCTTGAGGTTAGCAGATTGACTCATTACCACTAAGCTACCAAGGCTCCTTAGGTGAAGGTAGGACCAGCAGTTTGGAAAAGTAGGGTAATAGAAGGTCTCATTGAAAAGATAATGTATGAACAAAAACAGGAAACCAATGAAGTGAGTCTTACTGAATTTACAGGAAGTTCACTAAAAACACAGAGAAGGGCAAATGTAAACTCCTTGATGCATGAGTGAAACTGACCAGTGTGATACCTAGGGAGTCCGTGTAGCTTTCTAAGGAATTTTGTTTGAACTCTGGGATAATAAATTTAGAACATTAGTCTGATGATGTCATTTTTCTCTTCAAAACTCACTATTTGTCTGATGACATCATTCCACCCTCCTGGGGTCATTAGATTTTAGAGAGAAGAATGACATCATCAAACTAATGTTTTAAAATGGTCATTCTGGCTGCTATGCTGAAAAATCTCATGCGTGTGCATTTGTGGTTTTGGCCATAGGAGCAAGGACATCAGTATAAAGTTTTACAAATATCTCAGTGAAAACAGAGTGATTTATACCTGGCTGGGAAAAATGGATGTATTCTGAGTATTTTTTCAATGTATATTTAACAGAATTTTCCAGCCAAATAAATTAATTATTTAGGTACATATGTGTGTATATCCACTGGAATATACATTGTGTAAATCATTAAACCAGAAGAATACATATGCTTTATTAATCCTATTTCCACATACTTTCTATTTGTAATCATCTGTAATCTATACCTACTGCTACCATCTTGCTTTCAAGAGCTACAATTACATTTGCAATAACTTTTAAAGGTTTCAACTGTACTTTATTTCTTTAACAATGCCATGTTTTTAATGAGCAGTAGAGTACTAAGATCACAAGTTGGGGTTTTGAAATAATTTAAAATTACAGCAGATATGATGGTTACTTCTCTCTCCATTCCTTTGGGATGACTCTACCCACAGGGGACAGGTTCCATTGTATTCCAGTCTGTGTAACTAAATAAATACCTGAACAAAAACAGAAAGCCACTCCACTTGCTAAGATAGCATTACCATACTTGTCATGAAAATCTGGTGAGTGTTTTTGGTGGCAATGTCTTGCCACCATATGCTGAATGCTTTGAATCTTGAGTCTGCGTAGGGCATTTCTAGCCAAAGGAAACATCAGGACGGCGTGAGGGGATTGAAGTTTGTAGCAGGTGCTGGTCTATTTTATTGCAGAGACCTGAAAAAGAAAAATGGGGCAATGACATCAAATCTATATTCAGCTCATACCTCTTAGGATGTTTTGTCTACATTGCCTGCTAAAACTGTGGTTAGATCTATGATCTTTGACATTATGGTATATGCATTTGAATGTGAACTCTGCCAATGATAAGTTGATTAAATATGTACAGTTATTTATCTTTTTTTTTTGGCTATGTTGAACATTATTTGACTGCACTAGTATGATGTCATCAAGAACTTTATACATGAAGAAAGCAAAAGTCCACTGAAAAGACAGGAAAGAAATAAAAGACCAAGATAGAAATCAGTAGAGACTCTGAAATTTACTCTTGAAAGTAGAGTACCAAATGGAAGAAATGAGGAACAGAAGATTTTAAAGGGCAGACTAAGAAGACAAAACAAATTGTTATAATGAATTGTGCAAATACCTGAAGTTAGAAGAAAAAAAAAGAGAAGAGTGTACTTAGCATTTATTAGGAAGTACTGAAGGATTCTCTAGGCAAAAGTATTGAACAATGCCAAAATCATCAAATGAAGATGGAAGGGAAGGCTGGAATGGAAGTAGGAACCCGGAGAGGAAATATAGTAACTGTTGTTGCATGGAGAGGATTGCAATCATTGAGATTAAACAAAAGTGTGTGATTTGTTTGGTGTAAAACTGATGATCTGCTCAGTAAACCTTCATTCAATTCACAATAAAATGTTTCAAAAGAAAAAGAAGAATAACATGGAAAGAAAGACAGAGTCACTGTAACAAAAATTATTGGTTGATATTCAACAATTTCAGGAAGTAGCATATGATCAAGAACCAAGAGTACTGAAAGAAAATGTACAAGCTGTACTGAAGGCATTGGTGAAAAAAAGGAATACCAATTGAGATTTTTCAACAGAGGGCTGAAACACGGGAAATATTCATCCAGGCCAAGCAACTTAAAAATATTCATATTTGTGCATATTCCAGAGAAAGGCAATCCAACAGAATAAAAAAAAAATTCTTGAAATAGCTTTAGTTTAAAACACAAGTAAAATTTTGTTGAAGGTAGTTTTAAGTGATTGCATCAATACATGAATATGGAAATGTCAGAAATTCAAGTCAGATTCAGATGAGAATGTGGAATAAGGGATGTCATTGCTAATGTCAGAGGGATGTTGGCTAAGAATATCAGAAATATATTTACGTTTGTTTTAATGATTAAGAAAATGTATCAGACTGTGTGGATCATAATAAATTTTGGATACCATTGCCAAGAATGAGAATTCTAGAATACTTAATTGTGCTCATGAAGAACCTAGACCAAACAGAACATTCAAACAGAATAAGGGGATACTGCATTATTTAAATAAGGAAATGTTTAAGAATTGTGTACTTTTAGTAGTTATTCGATCTGTTTTGGTGTTGTTAGGTGCCATTGAGTCAGTACCAACTCATAGCGACCCTAAGCACAACAGAACAAAACATTGCCCAGTCCTGGACCAACTTCATAATTGTTGTCATGCTGGAGCCAATTGATGCTGCCACTTTGCCAATCCTTCTCACTGGGTGTCTTCCTCTTTTTCTTTGACCTTCCACCTTACCAAACATAATATCCTTCTCCAGCGACAGCTCCCTCCTGTCCGAAGTATGTCCGAAGTATGAGAGACGAAGTTTGGCCATCCTGGCCTCCAAGGAGCACTCTGGCTGCACTTCTTCCAACACAGATCTGTTTGTTCTTTTGGCAGTTCATGGCACTTTCAATATTCTGCTCCAACACCATAATTCAAAAGCACCAATTCTTCTATGGTCTTCTTTATCCACGGTCCAGCTGTCACATGCATATGAGGTTACTGAAAATACCATGGCTTGGGTCAGGCGCACCTTAGTCTTCAAGCTGACATCTTTGCTCTTCAACACTTTAAAAAGGTCTTGCACAGCAGATTTGCCTAATGCAATATGTTGTTTGATTTCTTACTGCTGCTTCCATGAGTGCTGACGGTTGCTCCAAGAAGAATGAAGTCCTTGACAATTTAAATATTTTCTCCGTTGATAAGAATATTGTTTATTGGTCCAGTGGTGAGGATTTTTGTTTTCTTTACATTGAGATGGAATCTATACAGAAGGCTGTGGTCTATTCTGAGCAAAAAGTCTGAGAAGCAGGACTATATCCAATCAGGATTGGAAGAAGGCTCATTAATAACCTGAGATATACAGATAATACCACCTTGCTTTCTAGAAACCAGGAGGACTTGAAGAATTTACTGATGAAGATTAAAGACTGCAGTCTTCAGTGTGCATTGTACTTCAATATATGCTTCATTTCTTTATAGAAAATAATAATCTTCACAACTGGACCAATAAAAAACATCATGATTGAGAAAGATTGAAGTTGTCAAGGATTTCATTTTACTTGATGCAACGTCCATGGCAAATAGCAGTCAAGAACTCAAACAACATATTATTTTGGGCAAACTGCTGCAAAAGACCTCTTTAAAACCAAAGATGTCACTTGAAAATTAAGATATGCCTGACCCAATCCACTGTATTTTTAATAGCTTCATATACATATGGAAGACAGACAATGAATAAGAAAAACAGGACAATAACTGATGCCTTTGAAATATGATGTCGATGAAGAAAACTGAATATACCAGTTATTTCCAAAAGAAGGAACAAATCTGTCTTGGAAGTACAGCCAGAATTCTCCTTAGAAGGGAGGATTGTGAGAGTTTTGTCTCATGTACTTTGGATATGTTATCAGGATCAACTGATATGTTATCGACTCCTGGAGAAGGACAACATGCTTGGGAATATAGAGGGTCAGAACAAAAGAGGTAGACTCCATTGAAATGGATTGACATTGTTGCTGCAAAAATGGGCTCAAACAGCAATGATTATGAAGATGGCACAGTACCAGGCAGTGTTTCAATCTGTTGTACATAGAGAACTGATTCAACAGGACTTAACAACAACACAACCTTTATTTTCCTCAATGGAAAACTGAAATAATCATGTCCACTTCCTAGGGGTGTTGTGAGGATTACATATGATAAACCAAAGCAACAACAATGAAATCAAGCATCAAATAAGTCTCATTTCTCTATTTATCAAAGACATTCATTGGCTTTATCCCTAGGTAAACTACAAATCTATCATCAAAGCTAAAATGACTATACAAATCATTTTCAACTTACCCCACTAATTGAATGCCTGCATTGTTTGTTCTATGAACTCCAGGTTATAGTCAGAATTACATGGTATTCTAACAGTATGTCAAGCTTCCTCTTTCTGCTACTCCTTCTTCGCATACAAATCTCTCTCTCCCCTTCATCCCTTTCTCCTTTCCCTGTTCTCTTTCTCCTCATCTACTTGCAATGCCTATCTTATGATCTTCTATAGGGAACACTTTGTTTGCCCTTTAAATTCCAGTCTAAAAGTAATGCATTTTGCAAAATCTTCAGAAAACCTCTGTAGAAGAAAAAAGCTCCCTCCCCTCTGTGCTTTTCACACTCTGTGCTTGGAACTCCTTTCCAAGCAGTTATCATGGTGCACTGGTGTTATCTGTTTGTATGGTAAGTATCCTCCACTAGATTTACAGGTCTTCCATGGAAGTAACTTGGCAAACATAGCTGGTTATAGAAAAACTTAGAAAGAACTTTTGGAACCAATTTGAAACACAAATATTTTCATATGAAGTTGCACTGAGCATTATAAGAACAAGTAAAAAATTACAAAATCAGATGTGCATTTTGCCATGGACCTAATCATTTGATTTTTAAAATATGGAGCTATAGTGGATACCACATCTAGACAGTCTACACATTATAGAAAGATGGCAATTGCTTTTAAATTGTGCAAGCCATAAAACAGTGTTCAGTTTTCTAAATATTAAACTGATTGTCATAAAGTTGATTCTGACTCATAGTGACACTATAGAAAGAACAGAATTGTACCATATGGTACACAAGGTTGTAAATCTTTATGGAAGCAGACAGCCAAATAATTCTCACATGGAACAGCTGGTTGTCTTTAACTACTCACCTTTAGGTTAGCAGCCAAATAATTAACCACTGAGTATACCAGGCTACTGACACAGACATATGTTAATCATGATTCCAAATGCAGGTAACATTGATACAAAAGGGTCTAAGGCCTGTACTTGTAAACTTACAACTATTCATTAAGATTTGTCCATTAAGAAAGCAAGACTGTATGGTTCTCTTCTATTTGCAAAAAGGTGGTAAAATAGTGCCAGCCATTACTGTTTTAAAGAGGGTAAACAGATAAGCAAATGTATTTCTCCTGAGATTCCAAATATTCAAAGTTGTTTTCTAGTAGTCATTAATCTCTCCATCATAAGGCACTAGGATGTTAACTTGAATTGACTTCAGAGTAGGCTGAATGTGAAATAGGTCAAGGTGTGACAGGTGCAGCCTTAATCTAATACAAAAACTCTTGTGCCGCACATTGCTTTCAGTCTTTAAAAGGTATATAACCAGAAAGTAATTTGTAATAATAGGGATCTCTAGTGGGTCATCGACTTGTGCTTGCTACTTTATGACAAATTGATTTCATTATTTCTAGCCTCACGATGTTAAGTTTAAACTCAGATGTTTTGTCTCTAGTGACGATGACAGCATCCCTCTGTAGCTTAGTTAATCCTTTGGCTATTTCCATTCTGTGAGCTTTCCCTGCTTCCCCCAGTCCTCCACCCTCACCCCATCTAAAATGAATTTCATAGAGCAGTAAGTGCTGATTACTAAGAATTTTCCTTTAGGAACTACATCTATTCTTTGGCTCTTCTTCTTACACTGAACAAGCTACAGTTTTTTTCATTCTTTTAGCCCCCTGTCAACATCAGCTACATTTGTGTCAGTTGCCTTCAGATCTACCCTATATTACTTTTATTTTTGAAACACTAGGAACCAAGTGATTAGGGGATTTTTCCATATTACTGAGCTCCA